CCCCCCCCCCCCCCCCCTCCACACAAACGCAAACTTGAACAAAATCCTTTTGGGCCATCATTGTTGCACCCGCTGTTTAAACATCACATTCATCATGTGTTTTATATCATTACTTTTAGTTGATTGTTTGTTTCTTTAATCGATAATGGCGCCACCTTTTGCCTCGCTTGACTTTGTAACTTAGTGAAATTGAAATATCCTAAGAGTGAAATTTACATGTACGAAAATACCAAATATTCGTCTCACCGACAAACATAAATCGGGTTACACATGAATGTGTGTTTAATGCCATGCAATACTCGTGTAAAATGATTTTTTAAGGTACTAATAACATAGAATATATTAAAGATACATTATCCCCACCTCCAGTTTCCATAGCGGTCGATCAAATGTCAGCACCATCTCCCAGCCGTTGTGGCTCTTGGTGACAGGAGCATTGATGTTGGCCTGGAAACCGTCATTCCAGGAGTTGATGACCTTCACCTCCGCACGCGCCACGCAGGCACCAATCAAAAGCAGCAGCAATTGAGAGTACATGGTCGAAGTGCTTCAATGATATATGAAACTTTTTGATTGCATCTGCTACCAAAACCAGTAAAAAATTGAGAAATATTTTCAAATTACCACCATCTACTAAAAATTGTACTGGTAAGGAGTCTAATAAATCATAAACCGTTTAATACTGTCCAGATTTTCTTCTTCTTAGAAACCAATTTTGTATAAGCTGCAAATCAATTTCAAGCGCCCAGCCAACTGATGTTCACTTTTATCAAAACTGCAAAGTTTGTTTGATAACATAAAACTTTGCATTTTGTAATGTAACATGCATTCAATATAGGCTGCATTCGTAATTAGTTTTCCCTAAAAAGTTACGTTTAGCCCCTGTTACTCATGTCTTATTCTTTTGACCGCCTTGAGAACGAATTGTGCTCCACTCTCATAAACATGCAATGCGTGCAATAAAGCAAACTATGTGTATTAATTTGACCTTAACGATCACATATTGGCAAGCCTCAGCGCTGCAGAATATTGTTGGGAAAGCAGTCGTTTTCCAAGCAGACGCAAGCCCGCTGTGGGAAAGGGGTTTTAGATGGAACGGAGTACTCGAGGGTGTCTTGAAACACTGCTTTACCCGGTATTATAATGTGAGTTACGGTTACCATGGCCATACCATATTAGAGCAACGTAAGCTAATTTCTCTTACCTGTCAGCGTTCTGACGACTTACGTAGCGAGGGTCGGTTACTTATTGGACACCCTCGCCCACGCAGCGTCCCTGTTAGCGACGTCTAAATCTGCACGGTCATGTCCGCGCTTGAGACCGACACAGCTGGTCCCCATTCCAGCGAGGTGCCAGAGGAGGGACAGACAGTGTTATATGAAGTTGCCGTATTTGACGATGGCCTACTTTTTAAAATATGACCGTCTAGCTGGTGCAAAATTGGATGAAGTTTTCTATCGATCATTATCACTAAGGATTCCTTTCAAAAAAAAATTTTTTTCCAACTTTGTAACAGCCATAAAGGCCAAAGTAATATATAGTACGTCTTCAACCCTTTTCTCTTTTTATTATGTCAACACCCTTTCTTACTCTTTATAACGTCATCACTTACTCACTTCATTACATTATCACCCCTTCTCAATCTTTATTACGTCATCACTTACTCACTTCATTACATTATCACCCCTTCTCAATCTTTATTACGTCATCACTTACTCACTTCATTACATTATCACCCCTTCTCAATCTTTATTACGTCACCTCCCCTTCTGACTCTTTATTACGTCATCACCCCTTTCACTCTTCATTACGTCATCATCCTTTTGGCTCTCTGTTACATCACTTTGGTTTTACTATTGTAATTGCCTTTTAAATATTGCTGATACCCGTCAAATCAATCATTGAACTATGGTAAGAGATACAATAAAAATAAAATCCAACCTACCTACTCAGTACCCTGAAACCATGTGCAAATTGAATTATCAACAATCGTTTTACTGATATGGAAGGAATAAGTAGGATTTTCATAGTATTGCAGAACTTTTGTAATGTCCACTGTTATCTAAGTACAGTATCATATCACGTTAAACGAGTCCCCTAGGGTGATGTTGTCACACAGGATGACTTATTAAAATTCAGCTAAATGTTGAGTGAAACAAAATCACACAAGCTCCTAATAGCATGCACGCGAGCTCCCTCTGAGATGTAGAACAATGTCTCTGCCGTCTTGTACACAGACACGGGAAAGGTATCCTCTCGGAAGGATTTTTTTAAAAATTTTAACGGCTCATCAATCTGAAGTTGACATAGGGCTTTGCGCCAACAATATTAGAAGTCAGTCCCGTAGCCAGCGATTTCAGAAGGGTGTTTTTTTTCTGAAAAAGTGGACCTTTTACCATGAAACCTTTGTGTACCTAGACAAAATTTCTGTGCAACCTTTACTTCCACAAAACTAACGTATAAACCAGGAATAATAAAAAATAAGCAAATTAGTGGGCACATAAACAGGTGAATGAATCTGCAAAATTTGTGATTGAATAGACGAATGCCTGAATAAATGAAAACAATGTAAGAGTAATCGAATCAGCATAAAACTATTCAGGAGATAAATATAAAGATAAATGTACTGTCATACGAACATTTTAGTCATGTGTTTTTGTATCACTATCGGTTCCCTAGCCTATTTATATCTGGAGGCTACTGTCCGACACGCTGACACGCCTACTTTAACCAATCAAGGCGCTGCAGGCTGGTCTGTACTGGGCTTGAAGAGTGTGTTACTGTAAGTAATGCCCGTGCTGCAGCCATGCCCCTTTGCACTTTTTCCCTTTTGCCCAAGGCATACTGAGGTGGAGGTACTTAATAATACACTGTCCACGAGCCCGATATACACGATAGCAGTGCATTTTTTCATACATACAAAGGGGAACCGTACATGTTTCCCACCCTAAACCTTCTAATTTTGAATAGAAAACGAAGATATCACCGCGTATAGTCCCACGGTATATATATTGTAAGAACCCTCCCCCCCTGTGTGTATCCCGGATACAGGCCCCCCTTGCACTTTTGCTCTACCGGGCGGATATTTTTATGATCATTGAACAGAATGGTTGTTTATATTTTCACATGTAGATGTTATTTTTATCAAAAACCACTTTTAAACGAGGTAGACAAATCTCTGGATAATGCAAATGGCCATTTATAACGAGAGAGAGAGAGTGTTTTAAATTCACAGTGTTGGGTTACACAAGTACCATGACGGAAACATTATGTTTTAGATCCCATGGTCAGATATAGGAGCGTGCTGGAAGCTCAAATGTCAACATGACCTAACTTCCCCAGTGCAGATAGCACGATGTTGGTATCTAGTCATGTGGAATAAAGCTTACAGAACGTTTTCTTCAGGGCAATTTCTTATGATTGATGTTTTGTTCATCCACAATCCAGTTCTCTGTTTGCTCGGGTTATGTAAATATCGTGGACAGATTGTCATAATTCTGACAGTTACAACCGAAGCTTTATGCTGTTTAGTAGAACTGATGGAAATGCAATTTTACCTAAATGCTAAGCAACGCGAACAAAATATTTTTGAAAAACAACCTAAGAATGTCATCTGTAGTGAACAGACATGCTTATATTACATATTAATTGGCACGTTATTGATGTTTTAAAGTGATCTATATCTAGCCATTTATCTAGCTTTTATCTAAATTATATATTTATAGACCATTTTCTCTCCTGTTCTATATGAACGAACAATAGAATTAAAGGTAGCATATGCGACCAACAATGTTAACGTGTAACATTAAAATCTGAAATAAATAATAATAATAATAATAATAATAATAATAATAATAATAATAATTTTATTATTATTTTGATAAGATGTAATAGCTTGAAGTATATGCCGCGATTCGCCGGTGGCGTTTGAAGCCTGGGGCAGTGCTCCTCCCCTATCTTACACAGCGCCACCTATTTATTGGGCGTGTCACTTGGGGGTTATTTTAGTAAGAACGGGGACTTTGCAGGGGTTGAAGATGAGGAAGAGGTGGGCTGCTCCTCTCCTGCTTCTGCTGGTACTCCCAGTGGTCTGCTGCAAAGGTAGGCTGGGTTGGAATCTGTTTGGGCATCGCCTGCGAAAATTTGTCTCATTTAACGCTCACTTACAGTTCTCAGTCTGTCCAAGAACAGTATGTTTTTCTCTTCTAATGAAAATGTTCTTAATCTGTTCTAGGACATTCTGAAGGACTTCCCCAAAACAGTTCTCGAACTGGTACATTCATTACAGAACAACATTAGAACTGCAAAAAATATACACCAAATGTTCTAGAATAGATTGAGAACCGTAAGTGAACGTTAAATGAGAAATTTTTGCAGTGGATGGTCGGTGATTTGGTATTTATAGTCAGGGTCAAACAGTTTTACGTTATCTTTAAATAATCCTCTGCGCAGGGTGTGGCTGCTATTGCAAAATGTGTAGGTAAAATAAAGGCAAAATAAAATTGATTAGTATCAAACTCTTAAGGGGTATTTATCCACATTTTGTATCTTTTTATAATGTAAGTTGTATAGCACTGTATTTCTGAAAGCAGAGAGCATGTAAGTGTCAAAATATTTCTGTGCTCAATAATTTTTTATTATATTATTATCTTTATTGCTATGAAATAGGTGAAGTCAGACTGCTGTGTTGTGGAATATGCAGCTACAGTATTTCTGAAAGAGTTGTTCACATTTAAACGACCGAAGTTAAACATCTTTATCAGATAAAAATAAAGACAATGCACTTTTTAGTTTTTTCTTTATTGCTTTTGTTTTGAAATTACACAAGTACCTACAAGTGTTATATGTCGTAAGAAATACAAACAACTCAAATAACATATACTACAACAATCATCACGTCACCTGGTAGGTCTAATAGAACACGGTGTGATTTTAAACAGCTAATAAGCGACTGATTCTTCTTACTCAAAGTGAAACTTAGTAGAGTGCCAATGTATTTACACATTAATTCACATTTATTTAACTTTTTCAAAGTAGCGTTTAACGGGATACTTTGCTTTATATATTCAAAATAAATAAATAAAGAAATGAATGAATAAATAAATAAATAAATAAATAAAGAAATAACAGTGGAGAATTTTGCTAACCTGGTCATCAGGAGGACGATCAAGAAAGGACTGACCGAGGAAAACCAGTGCAAGCTGACATGCTATCCACTAGATAAAAGTGGCTCTGTTTGTGATTAGACGGGGGGGTGCGGGTGTTGGGGTCGGATTGGGATGCCGTGGTCATAAAACAATGGCGTTCTTTCCTGCTGAACGAGTTATGGTGTCTCTCTTATACCCCCTTTACACTGGACGGCGTCCTTCCTGCGTCCTTTCTGCGATCATGAAATTTGGCATTGCTGTGGTCTTAATAAGGAGGCACGAGCATTGATTTTGTATAAGAATGAATGCTCAATGATCGACCAGTTGTAGGCACGTAAAGTATTATAATTTTTTAACTCTTAAATGGGGCCGTGCTACTGGACGCAGAAAGGACGCCGTCCAGTGTAAAGGGGGCTTTACTGCATTATGCATAATTGTGACAACTGCACGTAATGTGTGATTATTTGTAACATGGATTTTGTCACAAAACGTGTAAACCTTTCGACGTAGTTAACAGTTATGTGATTTGCTCAAAGAGCTTAGCTAATAGACCGACTGAAACGAAGTGATTGGTATTAAAGACCCCATTCACATAGATACTATCGGTCTACGTGGATCGATCAAACTCTGCGTGAACTCTTGATAAGTGCAATCAGCTTAAATGAATGACACACCTCCTTTTGTTCCTAACGTACTTGTATAATTACCAGTTTTTCTACATTCTACATAACGCCAGGAGGAAACGTTTTTTGTTTCAGTTAAACAGATTGCAGTGCTGACTCAGACTTTTTATTTTGATCATGACCGGAAAACCCAAAATAAACAAGAATCCCAGCAGAGTTTGGTCGATTCACGTAGACCGATGGTGCCTGTGGAAATGGGGCCCTGGACACATGTATTGTCTAAAACGTATCTTGAGTATACCCTCCACCAGTGCCGCATAATATATTATGTGGACTTTTCTCTGACGCGTTCACAGTGCAGATAATTACTGTCAATTTAACCAGAGACATATCTGTGAATATCTAATGAATATCAATCTGTGGCCCATGCAATCAGAGTAGGTTAATATTTTAGCTCAACGGTTTTTGTGAAACAGCCCCAAGCAAAGTGGTCCTCGTGACGGTGATGGCTAGTGCG